CCCGCCAAGCAGAGCCCAGTGCAGGGCTTGATCTCAGGACCCTGAGATCAGGACCCGAGCCAAAATCAAGAGTCAGCCGCTTAACTGACTGAGCCACCCAGGTGCCCCTGTGAACACTATTTTTCAATACAAAATCAGCTTTTCCTGACCTGAGACATGAGTCTTATGTCTCACAAAGATAATAGGAACATTGATCCTAACAGCAAACACACCCCTTGAGTGTGGTTTCGATCCTGCTTTGTCTTGTATTCCAAAGACAGATAAAGGTGATGTAGAGGAAGCTGCAGTCTCCAACGAGAGGCAACTCATGGAACACAGCAGAAATCCAATGTTCAGCAGCTTCTGGGGCTCCATGGATTCTCCTTAAGGCCACTCAGCTGTACTCCTAGCTTGTTTGGCCAAAGGGAGATGTCCTTTTACTTGGCTCTTTCCAAAGCAGCTTTGTCTGAAAAGTTAGAAAATGGTGGGGTTTTGTTTTTGTTTTTTAGAGAGAGTGACCAGCGGGGGAGGGACAGCAGGAGAGGGAGAGAGAGAGGATCTCCAGCAGACTCTGCACTGAGCATGGAGCCCAACGCAGGGCTCGATCCCAGGACCCTGGGATCATGACCTGAGCCAAAGGCAGACACTTAACCGACTGAGCCACCCAGGCACCCCAATAAATTGTTTTTGAATAAATGAATGGATAGCAAATTTTGTTTATTGCCTGAGCCAACAGTCCTTCCCATCCCTTATTCACTTACTGGAGGAACTAGAAAAGCTGAAGCCTGCCTTTCCCAGCCATCCTTGCAGCTAGCAATGGTTGGGTAACATAGTCTGGACAATGAGGACTAACAGAAATCTGTTGGGTAGCTTCTGGGAAGACTTTCTCCTGTCTTGATAAAAGAGATGGTGCTACCATTTTCCCTTGGTATGAGAAAAAATAACCCCTATTTGAGCCATTCTAATTTGGACTTTTTTTTTTTTAAGATTTTATTTATTTAGGGGCGCCTGGGTAGCTCAGTCGGTTAAGCGTCTGCCTTCGGCTCAGGTCATGATCCCAGGGTCCTGGGATCGAGCCCTGCGTTGGGCTCACCCGAGCAGGGTGAGGGGCAGAGGGAGAAGCAGGCTCTCCACCGAGCAGGGAGCCCGACACGGGGCTTGATCCCGGGACTCCGGGATAATCACCTGAGCTGAACGCAGACGCTTCACCGACTGAGCCACCCAGGTGTCCCCTAATCTGGACTTTCTATTACTTAAGACATTTATAACTAATACATTCATCTATTGTTTGATAGGGCTTAAAGAGACCCATGTCGGGTGGGAAGCCACTTACCTGAAAATTGACTTAGTGACAAAGGATCCAAAGAAGCCAGTGAATTAGGCTTCAGTCTAATAGAACTAGTTTGCAGAAGACGCTGGTCAGAGTCTTCTCCTAAGGTCTCTAAAATTCCAAATAGAACTCTACCATCCCTTGTGATATCATCTATGCATATGACCCTCCCCCCACCTCTCTCCGACAGCTAAACATAGAGGCATCTTTTTCTGTCTATGTACAAACATCTGTGTTTCCTTTTAGGCTTGAAGAATTCTCAGATATTTTATTTGCCACATGGTATCTACTATACTTTACAATAGTGTACACATGGGACTTTAAATAATGATAAAACTGGCATTTCATATTAGTGGAGAAAAGAGAGCTGGTTTAATATGATCAGCTATTCATTTGGGTGCACTGAAGGAAAGGCCCTACACACAAAAATAAATTCTAGATGGATCAAGGACTAAACAAAAATAAAATTATATACATATTGGAATAAAATATGGGTGAAAGTTTTTATAATCTTGGTGTGGAAAAAGCTACTTTAAGCATGTTATAAAATCCCAAACCATATTTGAAAGTACTGACGATAAATTTATTGCATAAAAAATGTAAAGAAATATTGTAAAGAAATATACATGACGAATGACAAATTAGGTAATACATTTCATAGCATATATGACAAATAGGGTAATATTCTCAACATACAAACAACTCTTACAAATTAATATTTTTAAAGATTTATTTATTTTAGAGAGAGACAGAGACAGAGAGCGCGAGCATGCAGGTGAGTGAGGGGAGGGGCAGAGAGAGAGAATCTCAAGCAGATTCCCTGCCGAGTGCAGAGCTCGACCTAGGGCTTAGTCCCATGACCCCTGAGACCATGATCTGAGCGGAAACCAAGAGCTGGATGTTCAACCGACTGAGCCACCAAGGTGCCCCATCATACAAGTTAATTTTTAAGAAAAGATGATCCCCTCCATGGAAGAACCAGCATAAATGATCTATTAGAGTTCTATCAGAAAAACAATGGATAAATTATGATATATACCAAATAACATAATAGTATACAGCAATTAAAATGAGCAACTAAAGGGGAGCCTGGGTGGCTCAGTCAGTGAAGCGTCTGCCTTCGGCTCACATCATGATCCCGGGGTCCTGGGATTGAGCCTCCACATCGGGCTCCCTGCTCAGCGGGGAGCCTGCTTCTCCCTTTCCCACTCCCCCTGCTTGTGTTCCCTCTCTCGCTGTGTGTGTGTGTCTCTCTCTCTGTCAGATAAACAAATAAAATCTTTAAAAAGAAACGAGCCACTAGGAAACATATGCAAGAGAGCTGGTTTCCAGTTTGGAGCTGTTACGGATGGTGCTCCCCTGTCTCATGGCTTACATGGCAATTCTACTCCTAGGTCATTACCCAAGAGAATTATCGTAGGGCATCCACATGCCCAACTTTGGTAGATAATGCCAGGCTGTTTTCCAGAATGATTATACCACAGCAGAAGAGAGTTCCACCAGCTCCCACATCCATTTGTCAATTGTACATATGCTACAAATATCTTCTCCCGCTCTGTGAATGAACAGAAGATCTGAATCTAAATGTAGTCAAATTTATTCATCTTTTCCTTCATGGTTAGTGGTTTTGGGGATGCTGTTTAAGAAACCTGTCCATGACCCTCCTAGAAGTTTTATTGTTTGTTGTTCAGAGAGCTTTAATTACCTTAAAACTGATTTTATTTTGTATAGTGTGAGGAAGGGGTCAAATTTCTTTTTTTAAAAAAATAGCTTTCTCTTTTTTTTAAGTTTATTTCCTTATTTTTAGTAATCACTACCTCAAAGGTGGGGCTCGAACTCATGACTCCGGGATCAAGAGTCACATGCTCTACTGACTGAGCCAGCTAGGTGCCCCAAATTTCAATTTTTCATATGGATTTCTGATTGACCCTGTACCACTGTTCTGGAGAGCTTTTTTGTCATGAATCAAGTGTCAATACCACGTTGTCTTAATTACTGTGACTTTATTTTTTTTTAAGATTTTATTTATTTATTTGACAGAGAGTGAGAGAGAGAAAGCACAAGCGGGGGAAGCGGCAGAGGGAGAGGGAGAAGCAGGCTCCCCACTGAGCAGGGAGCCCAATGCGGGACTCGATCCCAGGACCCTGGGATCATGACCTGAGCCAAAGGCAGACACTTAACTGACTGAGCCACACAGGCGCCCCAATGACTATAGCTTTAAAATAAATGTTGCTGGGGCACTTGGCTGGCTCAGTCAGGATAACATGTGATTCCTGATCTCAGAGTTGTGAGTTTGAGCCCCATTTGGTTATAGAGATTACTTAAAAATAAATAAAAAATCTTAAAAAATAAAATAAATGTTGCTTTCTGATATTGGGAATATTTTGGCTATTCTTGGCCTTTTACATGTCCACATGCTTGATTCCACAATGAGAAAATGCAGGAAGTTAGATTGAGATTGGTTGAATCTGTAGATCTGTCTGTGAAGAACGGAAATCTTTGTAACATTGAGTCTTCTAATCCCAATTATTTAGGTCTTTTAAGATACCCCTCAATAAAATTTTATAAATAGTCTCAGTCTTGGTTTGCAATATGGATGAAATTGTATCCACAAAGTTTCTAGAAGCACTGTCAGTCATCACCCTGTGATGAGATAGTCGAGGAAGAAGGTTAGAAATTGTTACATTTTATAAGCAATAAAGTGAAGTCTAAATCTGTATCTTGTCATCATAAAGCTCGATTTCTATATAGTCTGTACACTAAACTTTTCTTTTTTAAAAAAATATTTTATTTATGTGAGAGAGAGAGCACGAGCAGGGGAGAGGCAGAGGGAGAGGGAGAAGCAGGTTCCCTGATGAGCTGGGAGCCCGACGTGGGGCTCGATCCCAGGACCCCGGATCACGACCAAGCCGAAGGCAGACGCCCAACCGACTGAGCCACCCAGGCGCCCCTAAACTTCTCTATAACACTGAAAAATAGACTTGTTTTAGTATGTATCTTCCAAAGATTGTTGACTTGTAACCTTGAGATTATGTTTGATAAAATGCTTGTGAGAGAAAATTGTATTTGTTCACTTAGAGACTATATTTGTCATAGGAGAGTGAATTTGCTTCCTGATCTTCTGAAAATTAACTTGCTATGATCTCAGTGATTTTGTAAATAACTCACTTCCCGCGGAGCAGGGAGCCCGATGCGGGGCTCGATCCCAGGACCCTGGGATCATGACTTGAGTTGAAGGCGGACGGTTAACGACTGAGCCACCCAGGTGCCCCTGTTCCGGTCTTTCTTTAATTTTGCTTTGCATTAACAGACTCTGATCTGAAGATTCAAATTTGTTTGATTATTATTGTTATTTTATCCCAAAGTTTTTCCTATTGTTTTATTTGACCACAGGCACAATATTGTACAGCACAGCTCTAGAACTTATTCATCTTGCAACTCCCCTTTCTCTTTCAGTCTCTCTCTATATAAAGTATTCTCCTGGATCAAGGCTCCATTTCTAATTTTTAAAATTTTATTTTACCTCTTGTAAATGATATCACTTTCTACTCTGGGCTCAGTTTAATCTGGTTTTCTAACTCACTAATTTGGTTTTCTAAAGTCTCCATCCTGCTATTCAGTGCCTCTGTTTGTTTTTAATATGAGTGTTCACATTTTTATTTCCAGTGTAGAAATACAGATCTCGAAGGCATTTGTTTGTATGTGCCAAGATTTTATTTAGTTATTGAGGAAATCAGCAGGAAGACAAAAGGCCTGGGTCCAAGAGCATTTGAGAAATAGAGATGTATATAGTCAATAGGAAAAGAATGCCAAAACATGGTCATTAAGTTAGACATAAGAGTGACTAAACTTTTACAGGAAATAAAACCATATCACCTTTGGGGTTAACTTTTCTACCAGGCTATTAAGAAAAACAATTTATTGATTTCTGTAAATTAACCTCTGACCTTACAATCTTACAGAATTATGACCCTTTGTACCTTCATCGTTGTGGTTTGTGCTACATTCCCCCAAAAGGTCGGATCAGCGTCAAGCAGGATTATTAGAAAATGCTCTAGCTTGTGGAAAAAAAGCATTTATTTTCTTACTTCTTCTGAGATTGTAATACATTTTTCTCTTACACTAGGAACTCCTGTTTTTAAATTGCTCTGGATTGCCAACTTTGGATGCTTCCTCCAGCTGCTCTATGGTTTATCCTTGCCTCTAGCCCCCTTTGCCATCTAGGAAATGTTTGTGGAGTCATAGTGAGGGGGGCAAGCAGGTGTAAGAAGCAGGTGGAGGCGCGTCCTGCATGGCGGGTGGGGTGCACTAGAGGTCTTTTCGCTCTGCTTTCGCCAGCTCAGTGTTCTTCTGACTCCTTGAAACTCCAGCTATGTAATTGGGACTCTAGTTTCCCGTCACGGTATAGAATTTCCCCTGCTTCATTTTTGCTGTGTTTCAGCAGGAAATTAGCTGAGGGAGGGAGTAAAATGAGTGTATCACTAGAATTATACAGGTGAAGCTCCTATCCCAGACAGCCATGGATTTTCCTTGTTTCTCTGTGGGAATATTAAAAATATGCTCTTTAGAAATCTATTATGATTATTACCTTTCTTGGTCACCACATATTTCAAGGGGACATTGTCATTTTACTTCTGTGATCCTAACCTATTATTTTACTTGTTGGTTAGAATTAAGACCAAATGGCTTTATTTGTACATCCTTCTGAGATTAAATTGAACTCTTTAAAGCCATTCGCTCCTTTAAAACTCTGATGAAATCTTTGGACACTGTTGTCAGAAAAACGCACATATGCATTCATACATAATGTTGTATATAATGTCAGGGAATTGGGGGGGGCGGTTCTTGAATCCCACCTGTGAGTCTCAGTTTAAAAACACTAGTTTTTGAGGGAAGAGTATGACCAACTAAGATAATTGTATCTATCTATAAGGAGGCAAAAATAGACTTTATGTACTGGTTCTTACATTATCTACATTTTGCAGATTGTTAAGATGACTTGCCTTTGGCTTCAAGGCTGTGGTGATATGATCCCCAAACATGTTTTGCTCCATGCTTCACCAGGATAAGAAACAAATGAGGGTTTTATTTTAAATGTATGAAGCCTAATCTGAAATGCTTACTTCATGAATATCTTCTGCCAACTTTAAACACACTGTTTTTCTACAAAAGAGGAAGTGGTGGCTGTGTGAGAGACCTAATTTGTCAGGAGGAGAATGCTTTCCAGATGAGTTTTCTCCTTTCCTCATTACATGGGAAGGAAAAGCCAATCTGGGAGCAGTTGCAGCAAATGGTGAAGAGTTCAACTGAATGCAACGCTCCCAGGAAACGCAGGATTAATGACAGTTGATTTGGGAGGCTTCAGGGCAGTGTCTGCTAGGACCGTGTAGTCTAACCACATAGAAAAGTCATGGCGCCATGGGCATCGTGGGGCAGGAAATAACCTGGAGGCTGGGCTCGGAGGCAGAAGACAAGTCTGAGGGGTGCTGGACCCTCAGGACAGCTGCTGTGCCTCACAGCCCAGAACCTCCAGCCTCAGGGCAATCTGGCGTGCCCAGCTCTGGGGGTAAATTCGAAGGTAGCGAGTCAGTAGGGGCGGGTCTAGAGAGTTCACCACAGGTGTGAAAGAGTCTTGATTTCCCTGAAAAACCTGAAAGAAGAAAGATAGCATTTATTAGTTGTCTGACAGGAAGAACATTACAATGTTTGTCCCCCTTCCCCCGGCTCCATTGGCCTCCTACTGTGTCAGCCGCAAACCCATACCTCCGCCCCCAACATGGCCCTCCGCCTCACTAGCATCTATCGCAGGGCCCATTGCAATGCACAGACGTTTTTCCACTCCCCATTGGGAGTCCAGGACTGAACCGGGGGGTGGGGGGGTGACTGGATGACTCTGCATCCTATGCATCGGCCTGGGAAAGTGACATCTAGAATTAAGAGCACCTGGCTAGCCTGCCGTGGAGGCCTTTGCTCCAGCTAGGCCTTATATCTGGAATGTTCTCACCCACTTGCCAAAATCTTAGTGAAATTGAATGTTTTGTGCGAGGTTACACCCCACATCTGCCTGCTGAGCCGGGTGGAGGGGGGAGTCAGACTTTTGCCCAGGAAAGTGCACAGTAAGCACTCACTAAATGGTATCTACAGTCCAACCAACGTGACTTGCTTTCATACGTTGGTTTCACACCTCTTGGTACTAACTTTAGATAATAACAAAAGCAACACAATGTCAGTCAGCTCCATGAGGGTCAGAGACCTTGGTCACATAGAATATATAGTATAATGTATATACATGGCAAATACACTATAAACATTTGTTAAAGTTTGTGTGTTTGATGAAACTCTTGAGAAACATTAAAGTCCCTATTCTGGGATTTTTCGACAAATGTTTACGGTATATTTGGAGGCTTGTACGTCTTCTGCTAGACTTATTCCTTGCTTTGTCCCCTCAAGTTTTAATTTTAAAATGTTACCAACCTCAAGAAATTGAAAGAATAATGCAATGAACACTTAAATCCTTCACCTAGATTCAGTAATTGTTAACATATCATCTATTTCTCTACACACATGCTTACACACACACACACACACATTTTCTGAACTACTTGAAAGGAAGTTGTAAACCTCATGTCATTTTGCTCCTAACTACTTCAGCATGTCAAACCTAAAAATAGGGTATTTATAACCACAGAATAACATTTTCATATCCCCCAATGTAATATTGATATAATATAGCCTAGTATTCTAAAATTTCCAGTTATCAGTATGATACCCTTTATACAATTTTTCCAATCCAGAATCTAATAAAAACCACACATCACATTTACTTATCATATCTCTTTAAATCACCTTTAATCTAGAACAGACTCCTAGTATCTGGACTTTTTTTGTCCTTCATGACATGGACATTTTTAAAAGTGTAGGACTATTGTGTTGTAGAACCCACATTCTAAATTTGTCTGTTTTCTCATTATTAGATTTTGGTTAAATATTTTTTTAACATTGATTGATTGATTGATTTTAGAGACAGAGAGAGAGAGTGAGCACACCCAAGCGGGAGGAGCAGAGGGAATCTCACACGGGACTGCATCTCACAACCCTGAGATCAAGTCCTCAGCCTATACCAAGAGTCTGACGCTTAACCAACTGCGCCACCCAGGTGCCCCTTGGTTAAATATTTTTAGTGAGAAAACCCAGTGCATGATGTGTCCTTCCCATTACATCACATCAGGGGACACATGATGCTAGTTTGTCCCATAAATTGATGATGCAAAGTGTGATCACACGGTAAAGGTGGTGCCCACCAGATCACTCTGTTCTAAAGGTGATCATTTCCCTTCCCGAACAATCTGTGGGATGATACTTTGAGACCGTGTAAATATTCCCCAACAAGCTTTCATCCAATGGTTTCAGCATTCATTAAAGTTCCCTACAAGTATTAAATAGTATATTGATGAATGCAAATTGATTTCCTAATTTTGTCATTTCTTCTACATTTCTTAGCTGGAATTCTTCTATGGAGAAAAGCTCCTCCTCTCCCTTTATATTTTAAGCTATGATTCTGGACTCCTGGATTCTTTCTTTATCGTATGTATTATAATCCATTACCATCATTATTCTTTTTGATGCTCAAATTGTCTCAAATTTGGCCAGCAGGAACCCCTTCAATCCAGCTCTTGTGTCCTTTTTATAAGACCCCATTAGTGTTTGTGCATTCTGGCACACCAAGATGTTCCAAGATACCTGGCAGTTTCTTTGCTCCAGCTTTGGAATCAGTAATTTTTCTAAGGATCCCAGCTTCGGGGCGCCTGGGTGGCTCAGTTGGTTAAGCGACTGCCTTCGGCTCAGGTCATGATCCTGGAGTCTCGGGATCGAGTCCCGGGATCGAGTCCCACATCGGGCTCCCTGCTTGACAGGGAGTCTGTTTCTCCCTCTGACCCTCCTCTCTCTCTCAAATAAATAAATAAAATATTTATAAATAAATAAATAAATAAGGATCCCAGCTTCCTTTTACTGGGAAGTGGTATCTAGAGACAAAGAATGCTCTGGGTTCAATGAAGCTCTGCTCCAGGCCGAGGCTCCTGTTCCATGTGTCTTCTCAGGTTGGACATTTTTATCTCATGGCAGAAGCACAAGAGACTGAGTCAAACATACACATTTAAAGTTTCTGTTCGGACTCACATTCCATTGGTCAAAATGAGTACTATTGCCAAGCCCAAAGTCAATGGAGTTTTCAAGGAAGGAGGCAGTGAAAAATCAAGAACAATAACACATTTTACCTCGTTTGCTGTTTTCTGTTCATTTAGAAATTCTTTATAATTTCTTGTTCCAGAAATAACAGATGATTTTATGTAGGCAGGGATAAGAAAGTTGGGTGGAGTATTAGGTTTGTTAGTCCAGGAGCACCCTCCACTGTTGATAAAGTGAAGTGCAATTTCTTTAATAGATGGGACAGAAAGGGGCTCGCGTCTTGTGATGTTTTTGCTTTTATAGGACACTTGATTTCCACCAGTTGATTTCTGTTCTTGTTCATCACCAAGCCTCCAACAGATATATCGCCCTTCACCAGAAACAGTGTCACCTCTAGTCCTACATACTTTCAATCCCTTTCCTTTTGGTTCCAGAAGCCAATGCTCTGATCCACAGGTCTTGAGTATTAGTATTTCTTCACTCAGGGTGGGAATTTCTCTTTCCAGAAGTGATTTTGTTTTCTACCACTGACCTTTTCTCTTTTTTTTTTGCACAGTCTCTCCTAGACTCTCCAGAGTGAGCTTTGGAGCTAGCTCAGCTGGCTCTGCATGTTTATTTTCTACTGACTTGTAAATAGAAACTTATAGTATTCTTTGTATTCTAGCTATTCTGTAGGTGAGTTATGGGTGGTTTTATGCAATTAAAAATATATATTCATAGCACTGGTGAAGAAAGATTTATTTCTTCCTTTCCAATTTAGATGCCTTTTATTTCTTTCTCTTGACTAATTTCTCTGGTTATAACTTCCAGTAACATGTTGAATAGAAGTGGCAAAAGTGCTAGTCCTTGTTTGTTTTGTGAAAATTAATAAAAGGAAACCTCCTTTAGAATGGAGTCAGGAGGCCAGCAGGGTGAGCTCTCACACCTTACCACTTATCTTCAATTGAAAATCCAACAAAAGGATACCATTTTCTTTACTACTTTACTACCAGAGCAGGAGGGAGGAAGGTTCACCCCTCCTCCACCCTCATCCCTGCAACAGCCCAGCCAATAAGAGACAGTCACAACTCAGCCAATGAGAAACCACTACACTTCCAACTTCCAGTTTATTCCAATGGACTTTTTGTTTATAACAGCTCCTCCCAACTCCCCCCTTTCCTGTATTAAAAGGGTGTGCCTCTCTTTTGTTCTGTAGACTTGCCTATGGTTCGGCCCTAGCTTGCTTGTTCCAGATTGGAATTCTCTGCTATTCCAAAAAAATCCATTTTTGCAGGTAAAATAACTGGCGGTTTTCTTTTTAAAGTGAACATTTTGCCATTTCTCCACTGTATTTTCCCTTTCATTCTGGGATTCCGGTTATGTAATTTCCTTTTATATGTTTTGTCTTCTGTGCTCCATCCTAGGTAATTTCTTCAGCTATATCTTCCTATTGACTAAATTCTCTTTGGCTGTGTCTAATCTGCTATTAAGTCTTTTTTTTTTTTTTTAAGATTTTATTTATTTGACAGAGAGAGACACAGAGAGGTAACACAAGCAGGGGGAGTGGGAGAGAGATAAGCAGGCTTCCTACCGAGCAGGGAGCCTGATGCGGGGCTGGATCCCAGGACCCTGGGATCATGACCTGAGCCGAAGGCAGACGCTTAACGACTGAGCCACCCAGGCGCCCCTAAGTCTTTCTTTGATTTTCAAGCTTCAACAATTATGTTTTTCATTTCTTTTTTTTTTTCAAAGATTTTATTTATTTATTTGACAGCGCGAGCGAGTGAGAGAGCACAAGCAGGGGGAGCAGTAGGTAGAGGGAAAGGAGAAACAGGCTCTCTGCTGAGCAAGGAGCCCGATGCAGGACTCGATCCAGGACCCCAGGACCATGACCCAAGCCGATGGCAGATGCTTAACCAACTGAGCCACCCAGGCACCCCTATGTTTTTCATTTCTAAAAGTACTTTTGTTTTCCCAAAACCGCCTAATAATTTTGGATAATTTGTCATTTATTTTTATGTTTTCGTAGTTCATCAATTTCTGATGTTTTTCGATACTAACTCTGTATTGATTGTTCTTGCTCACTTGTTTTTTTAAATTTAATTTCATTAATTTTTTTAAAGTAGGCTCCACACCCGGGACGCCTGGGTGGCTCAGTCGGTGGAGCGTCTGCCTTCGGCTCAGGTCATGATCCCAGGGTCCTGGGATTGCGTCCCCGTGTCAGGCTCTCTGCTCAGTGGGGAGTCTGCTTCTCCCTCTCCCACTCCCCCTGCTTGTGCTTTCTCTCTCTCAAATAAATAAATAAAATCTTTAAAAAAGTAGGCTCCACACCCAATGTGGGGGCTTGAACTCATGACTCTGAGATCAAGAGTCATATGCTCTACCGACTGAGCTAGCCAGGAGCCCCTCTGCTCACTTGCAGTCAAGTTGGTTTGTTGTCTTGCATGTTTGCTAATATTTATGATCTTATCATTTAAGGATGTGGGAATCTTGGGGACCTAAACTGGGAGTGCTTTCTTCTGAGTGGACTTCCAGATGCCAGGAGGTGCTACTAACCTGCAACTACTTTAGCTCCTTTCTGGGGTTCATTACCTAATGCGTTCAGTTTTCCTTGCATTTTGCTCAAAGCTTAGTCTCCTAATAACACTAATATAAGCATTTTCCTTTAGGAAAGGTCATCCATTTTACATTTTCTCATATTTTACCTCTGTTTGCTATGATTTCAGCTCATTATTTTCAAATAAAAGCTCATGGGGTTTTATTTGGGGACTGGAGAGTCCCCTTTCCTTACCGAGTGTAACAATGCATTAAGAAGTATGCACCTCAGGATGGCCCGCACTATGGAACCAGTGGCAAAGATCTTTAAAGGAGTTTTAGTTGTTGAACTCTTGGGCGTTTTTGGAGCATATTTTTTGTTTAATAAGATGAATGCAAGCCAAGATTTCAGGCAAACAATGAGCAAGAAATTTCCCTTCATCTTGGAAGTTTATTACAAATCCATTGAACAGTCTGGAATGTACGGAGTCAGAGAGCACGATCAAGAAAAATGGCTGGGGCGCCTGGGTGGCTCAGTCGTTAAGCGTCTGCCTTTGGCTCAGGTCATGATCCCAGGGTCCTAGGATCGAGCCCCGCATGGGGCTCCCTGCTCAGTGGGAAGCCTGCTTCTCCCTCTCCCACTCCCCCTCGGCTTATGTTTCCTCTCTCGCTGTGTCTCTCTCTGTCAAATAAATAAATAAAATCTTTAAAAAAAAAAAAAAGAAAAATGGCTGAATAGCAAAAATTAGGACCAGTCATCACGTTCGGCCTCCCATCTAAGCTGTTTGAGACCTTTGTGGGGGAGAAGAAAGATGAGCACACCACATTGCAGACTCCTGGCCCCACAGAACAAAACAGGAACTTCTGGTCTGCCATGGCTCACAGTCATTTCCCATCCACTATGCAAATCCCCTGCTTTTGTTTGTTGCTTTCCTTTGGCATTTATTATTAAAGACTATTGCTTAACAAATAAAAGACTAGGAGAAGGAAGGAAAAAAAAAAAAGGTATGTACTATAGAGTGCCTGGGTGGCTCAGTGAAGTGTCTGCCTTCGGCTTAGGTCATGATCCCCGGGTCCTGGGATCGTTGGGCTCCCTGCTCAGTGGGGAGTCTGCTTCTCCCTCCCTCTGCTCTTGTGCTCTTGCCTGCTCTCTCTCCCTCTCAAATAAATAAATAAAATCTTTAAAAAAAAAAGAAGTATGTACTATAAGTGAGATAGCCTTCTTATCGTGATAATATATACATAACATATAATTTACCATTTTGATCAGTTTTAAGTGTACAATTCAGTGGCATTAAATAGATTCACAATGTTGTACAAGCATCACCACCATCCATCTCCAGAATTCTTCATCTTGCAAAACTGAAACTCTATGCATTAGACAGTAACTCTCCATTATCCTCTCCCCAAGTCTTCGGTAACCTCTGTTCTACTTTCAGTCTCCATGAACTTGCCTATTCCAGGTACCTCATTATAATTGTTAATTCTGTGTGCCAACTTGCCTAGGTCAGGAGGTACCCGGATATTTGGTCAAACACTATTCTGGGTGTGCCTGTGAGGATGTTTTTGGGTAAGATTAACATTCAAATGGTAGAGTGAATAAAGCAGATTTTCTTCCAAACCTTTGAAAGCCTGAAGAGAATAAAAAGGCTGACCTTCCTCTGAATAAGAACTCTTCCTGCCTGACTGCCTTTGAACTGGGACATTGGCTTTTCCAGCTTTGGGGCTCAAACTGAATTACTGGCCCTTCCTAAGTCTTGAGCCTGCTGGCCTTCAGCCTGGAATTTACACCATCAGCTACCTTGGTTCTCAGGCTTTTGGACTCGGACCGGAACTAGACCATTGGTACTCCTGGGTCTCCAGCTTGCTGGTTCACCCTGCAGATCTTGGGACTTGTCAGTCTTCATAATCATGAGCCAGTTCCTTACAATAATCTCTTTATACACACACAAACATACATAGGTGTGCATGCACACACACATTCTATTGGATCTGTTTCTCTGGAGAAGCCTCTCTAATACACTCATATAAATGGTCCTTTTATGTCTGGCCTATTTCTGGACACCACATTTCCCATGCCCCACCATGGGGTGTGGCCTATTTCATTTAACATAATGCATTCAAGGTTCATCCATATGGTAGCATGTATCAGAGATATACCCTTTAAAAAATGGGAATATCCTCTAGCATACATATTATCTATACTCTGGTCCACTGAACTGCCAGAAGCAGAAGTCTAATCCAGCATTGGAGGATCAGGGAATTCTTCCTGGAGGAGAAGATGTTTATCTGAGACTTAAAGAATGAGCCAAGTAAAAGGGGCAGTGCTAAGTACCTAGGAAAGAATTGTTCTAGGTAGAATAAACAGTATGTAAACAGGTAGAATGTAAAAGCCTGGTATGAGAAAGAACATGCTGTTTTTAGGGACCTGAGAGTTTCTTAGTATGGGGGGGGGAGCTTAGAGAGCAAAGGAGATTGGTAAGGGCCACACCATGGTTAATTCTTGATGAAAAAGAAAGACGATAGAGATGAACTATTCATTCTCTCATTACTCATGGGATAGCAAGACTTTTGTCATGTCCTCTAATTAGCATAATTTGTTGACTTATCCAGCAAACCCACATCAAGAAGGAAGATTGTCTGGGTCCCATATGTTAAAGATCAACGAGGCTTGGGACTCTAAGTTGCTGATGAGGATACAGACATCTTTAAACATCTGGCAAGTAATTCTCATTCTTCTTCAGCCCTCTGATTCTTGCCATCATCCTGGATGACATCAACATCCATGAGGATAATCAACTTTTGGCTCTACTCTGCTCTTTCCTGGGATTGTACGTCCTTGCTTGGAGTCACTGTGTCCTCCCAAAATGTCTTTCATGGTGTCCTATTACTATAGAGACTCAATAAAATTTATCTTGAAAGTTTGATCTTATATCAACCTTGTTATGTTTCTAAATGTCAAGCCCTAGGAGAGCTCTTGTGCCTTTCGCATGAGACCAGCATACCTTTACTTTGCCATTGTGAAGAAAAAGAGTCCAGTCGTGGCCATCTTGACTACTGCTGATGAGGAACTCCTTCACATACATGCTGGTAAGGAGCGATTTTACTCCCTGCGTGGTTATTCCTGTGACTCTCATTATCTTCTGGAAGTCCACTTGCAGCCACTCTTTTGGATTATTTGCCTGGGGAAGTCAGTTAGACTAGTATCCTTTTGCTTACTATTTGCTCCCAGAAATCCCCACATCCTTTCTTCACCATGTCATAGCACGTATCACTCTGCATCTCAATGGTCTCTTTGTCAGTCTCCCTTATTAGACTCTAAGCAACTTCATTGCCGAAATTTTTCATGATTCGTCCCTGTATCCGTCTGCCATTCAATAGGTGCTCAGTAAATGTTGGCTAAATGAATATAGAGCCGTATATAGATGGACTAGAGTATTACAAGTTCGGCAATGTGTTATACAAGCTGTTTTGCTTAAAGTAAGCCCCTTGGAGGAGCAGAGACCATTGACTGCATTCATCACCAAAAGCTATTCAGTGATTGAAAATCACAAATTCACTGGTTCTGGAAAAACAACTGTGCCCAATGAACTGTACATGGCTGTGGCACTTTCCTTTGAGGCACCGAGAAACTACTTCAGCTACTGCAAGTCCTTCACAGACATCTGCCCAGGATTGCATATAGAGATTCTGCTTCTAGGAGGTTCAGTTAGGGATTATTTCCCCCCACAAATGCTGTGTGAGATCACATGGCACATCCACTAGACATCTGCAGGGATTTTTCCCCCCAGAGGCAACCACCCTTGACACTTTTTTGGGAACAGTCAGGTGACAGAAATGCCTCTAAAGAAACAGTCAAGGACCTTCCCTATTCTTTCCCAACCTGTACTCCCTCCTCTGCATCAGTTAAATGGCAAATTTGTTGCCTCTTACCTGAGGTCTCCAGGCGTTAGTCCTCCCCTGGAGGTGTAATCGGGCTTGTGAAGGAGACCAAGTGGCAAACATACTGTTTAAGTAGGATGAGGCAGTAATCTGGGCATCCGATATTGCTTTATTCTCCATCCCCAGTGGCATGCTGCAACCTCAGAGAAATGAAAGGGATGTAATCGTCAGGAGAAGATGCACCCACAGGGCAACTGTCATCCTGACGTCATTTCTCAGGCATTGACTTCGGCACCGATTCTTTTACTGTTAACCTGACCTGCCCCTCATTTTTGGGTCAGCCCTTCTCAGTTCTGTTTGACTTTGATTTGCCTTGTTAATAGTACCTTGGGAGGTGCTGCCCCTAGGGAATCCCATGTTTCGAATGACCAAGTCCTGGGTTTGCTCAGGACTGGGCTGGTTTTAGCATTAATAGTTTTGTGCCCAGCGAAATCCCCCTACTCTTCAGAACACTAGGACAGTTAGTCATCCTCCCCAGTGTTGGGAGAGGGAAGGACACATGATGACTTGGCACTTACTGTTTAAATCACAGCCCATCAGCTCCATGCGAAGAGTGCTGCGGATGCTGTAATGTGTTGGGTGCAAACGGATGTACCGAGCAATAATTGGAGGGTTAAAAATATTGTGTTTTATCCCAGATGAATCCACATTGCCAAAGAAGACCTGTAGGGAGGAATTAGCAAGTGGAGACAGTAAAAAGCAATTGCTCCCAATCATATCTGCCTCCTAATCTTGCTTTGTGCATTTCTCAACAGCATTCAACACACACAAATAAAACCATTCTAGCTAGACAGATGTGAGAATGGAATACATGAAGGAGAGAAACACCTGGAAGAAGAATGGAACAAGGGAGATTAAGTGTGGGCAGGTGAAGTGGTCTTCTATTTTGGGGTCCTGTAAAAGGCTCATCAAAGTTGAGGAAGCCACTTAGGGTCTTGCTAATCCTGCAGTATCAGCATCACCTGGGAGCAATTAGAAATACCGTATCTTGGGCTCTATTCCGGATCTACTGAATCAGAATTCGAAGTTTGAGAAGCACCAGCTTAGGCCAGAGTCAGCTGTGAAAGTCTGCCTCACTTACTGGCCTCAGAATAATCTTCCAAGAATGTGGGCTGTGTGTGTGTGTGTGTGCATGAACTGTGAGGCTTTAATTAATAATTCCTTGTGTATGAATTCGAGACACATGGTAACATCCATCATGTGGGGTTTAAGACCTTGACAAGTCTAGGTTCCAGAGGAAAGTGCACAGCATATTTAAAGGAAAAGGAACACAGTTTGAGAAATATGATAGTAATGCCTATTCAAAAGGCCTAGATTTAAACCATGGCACATAGTATAAGGAAAGTTGAAAAAAGTTTTTTTTAAAGATTTTATTTATTTATTTGAGAGACACAGACAAAGTGAGAGAAGGAACACAAGCTGGGGGAGTGGGAGAGGGAGAAGCAGGCTTCCCACTAAGCAGGGAGCCCGATGCGGGGCTTGGTCCCAGAACCCTGGGATCATGACCTGAGCCGAAGGCAGATGCTTAACGACTGAGCCACCCAGGTGCCCCGGAAAGTTGAAAATTATCTTTTACAAAACACCTGGGATTTGTATCTGCTTGAATACACTAAAATAGGAATCAGTGTAAGTCTGTTATATAATCACACAGCAGAGTAATAGTATTATGGGGAATTTTCTAAGAAATTGTTTTGCCGGGGCGCCTGGGTGGCTCAGTCAGTTAAGCGACTGCCTTCAGCTCAGGTCATGATCACAGGGTCTCGGGATCGAGTCCCACAGCGGGCTCCCTGCTCAGCGGGGAGCCTGCTTCTTCCTCTCACTCTGCCCCCCACCCCACTCATTCTCTCTCTTTCATATAATAAACAAAAAATCTTTGAAACAAGAATATAGAGGGGTGCCTGGGTGGCTCAGTTGGTTAAGTGTCTGCCTTTGGCTCAGGTCATGATCTGGAGTCCCAGGATCGAGCCCCGTGTTGGGCTCCATGCTCAGTGGGGAGTCTGCTTCTCCCTCTCCCTCTGCTCCTCCCCCCACTCGTGTTCTCTCTCTCACTTGCTCACACTCACTTTCTCAAATAAATAAATAAAATCTCTAAAAAAAAAGAATATAGGAGCGCCTGGGTGGCTCAGTTGGTTAAGCATCTGCCTTCTGTTCAGGTCATGATCTCAAGGTCCTGGGAATGAGCCCCGTGTTGGGCTCCCTGCACAGTGGGGAGTCTGCTTCTCCCTCTCCCTCTGATACTCCTCCCTGCTTGTGCTCTCCCTCTGTCTCAAATAAATAAAGAAAATCTTTAAAAAAAAAGAATATAGATGCAGAAATCCTCAAATAATTTTAGCAAACTGAATCCAGCAGCACATTATAAATATTACATTTCATGTCCAAATAAGAATTCTCCCAGGAATACAAAGATGCTTCAACATAAGAAAATTATTTAACACTAAATTAATAAAACAAAGTTGAAAAAACCCACATGATCCTCTCGATGCAGAAAAAGCATTGAGCAAAACCCAATTTTTCCTGACAAAAAACAACAGCAAACTAGGAATAGAACGGGAATTACCAAACATAATAAAGGGCATTTATGAAATGCCCATAGCTAATGTCATACTCAATGGTGGAAGACTGAAAGCTTTTCTCCTAACATCAGGAACAAGACAAGAATTCTTGCTTTCACTGCTTCTATTCAGGATTGTAATGGAAATCCTAGCCAGAGCAATGACACAAGAAAAAGAAATAAAAGGCTTCTAAATTGGAAATGAAGAAGGAAAACTATCTCTATTCTCAGATGACATAATCTTGCATATAAAAAATCCTAAACAATACACAAAACACATAGAGTTAATAAGTGAATTCAACAAAGTAGCAGGATATGAGATCAACACACAAAAATCAGTTGTGTTTCTATATAGTAGCAGTGAAAAAATCTAAAATGAAATTGACAGTTCTATTTTTTTAAAGATTTTATTTATTTATTTGAAAGAGAGCATCAGCAGCGGGGAGGGGCAGAGGGAGAAGCAGATCCCTGATGAGCAGGGAGCCTGATGGGGGACTCAACTCTAGGACCCTGAGATCATGACCTGAGCCAAAGGCAGACACTTAACTGACTGAGCCACCCAGACACCCCCAACAATTCTATTTAAAATATCATCAAATGGATGGGGCACCTGGGTGGCTCAGTCGTTAAGCGTCTGCCTTTGGCTTAGGTCGTGATCCCAGGGTCCTGGGATCGAGCCCCGCATCGGGCTCCCTGCTCTGTGGGAAGCCTGCTTCTCCCTCTCCCACTCCCTCTGCTTGTGTTCCCTCTCTCCCTGTGTCTCTGTCAAATAAATAAATAAAATCTTTAAAAAATATATCATCAAATGGAATTAAATACATAGGAATAAATTTAGCCAAGGAGGTGCAAGACTTGTGCACTGAAAATTACAAATTATTGCTGAAAGAAATTAAAGAGGACCTAAATAAATGGAAAGTCATCCTGTTTCAGTAAACTGAACATTTAATATTGTTAAGATGGCCATAGTCCCCAAGGCAATATAGAGATTCAATACAACCCCTATCAAAATCTCAGTGACTTGTTTTGCAGAAATGTGAAAGCCAATCCTAAATGCATATGGAACTGCAAGGGACACAGACAGCCAAAACAATCTGGAAAAAGAAGAACAAAGTTGGAGGACCCACACTTCCCAATTTCCAAGCAATCCCCAAAACGGCATAATGGTGGCATAACGGTAGACATGTAGGTCAATGTTTTGGAATTTAGAGTGAGAAATAAATTCACAGATTTATGAATAGCTGATACTGAACAAGGGTGGTCAGGCCATTCAATGTAGGAATGAGCAATCTCTTCAAGGAATGGTGCTGGGAAAACTGAATATCCACAGACAAAAGAAAGAATGTGGAGTCCAGTCTGAAACCGTGTCTGAAAGTGAACTCCAAAACTGGATCACAAACCTAAATGTAAGCAAGGAAACTCTGAAACCCTTGGAATAAACCATAGATGTAAACCCTGGTGGATTTGATTATGCAATGGTTCCTTAAATATGGCAGCAAAAGCACAGCTACAAGAAAGGGAGGAGGAGAAGAGGAAGGAGGAGGAATGGAGGAGGAGGAGAAAAACAAAACTGCACCCCATCCAAACCAAAAACATTTGTGCATCAAAGGACTCTCCCTAGAGACTCTGTTACGCAACAGTTCCTTAAATATGGTAGCAAAAGTATAGCCACAAAAGGAGGAGGACCTGTGTAGAAAGTGAAAGGCCAACCTCCCCCTCCCCAGGATGGGAGAAGCATTTGCAAATCACGTATGTGATAAGGGCGTATTTTTCAGAATGCATCAAGAATGCTTAGAACTCAACAACAAAGAGGTGAACAACGCGGTTCAAGAATGGGCAAGGGACTTGAGCAGACAAGGCGCACAAGGCAGTTAAACAACGGGCAAAGGACTTGAGCAGCCATTCCTCCGAAGCGCATGTACGAATGGCCAAGAGGCACGTGAAAAGCTGCTCAACATCGTTATAGCCGTTAGGGACGTGCAAATCAAAACCACCAGCAGGGGCGCCTGGGTGGCTCAGTCGGTTGAACGTTTGGACTCTGGACCTCGGCTCAGGTCATGCATGATCTCAGGGTTGTGAGATCCAGCCCCACGTCAGGCTCCACGGTGGGCTCTGCACCGGGCACGGAGCCTGCTTAAGATTCTCTCTCTCTCTCTCTCTCTCTCCCGCCTCCCTCTGCCCCTCCCCCCCCGTCTCCCTCTCTAAGAAAAAGTCACCATGAGATAGCACTTCACACCCAGTAGGATGGCTCTTCTAGGCACAAGAGAAACAAAACAAGTGGAAAATGACCAGTTTGGGCGAGGGTGTGGAAGAACTGGGGCCCTCGCACAGTGCTACTGGGATTGGAAAGTGGTACAGCTGCCGTGGGAATCCGTTGGGCAGCTCCTCAGTAAGTCACACATAGCATGACCATAGGAAGGACCCCGCAATCCCACTCCTAGATCTATACCCGAAGGCATTGGGAACAGGCGCTCCGACAGAACCCTGTGTACGGGAACGTCCACCGCAGCGCTCTTCCTTCCCATCCGCCCCAAGGTGGAAAGCACCGCAAGGCCCGTCCACTGACGGACGGGATGCACAACACGTGGTCTATCCATGGCCGTGGGATATTATTCGGCCGTCAAAAGACACGAAGTGCTGATTCAGGCTACACGTGGAGGAGCCCTCATGAAAACATGGGTGCTGAGTGAAAGCAGCGCGACCCCAAAAGCCACCTATTGGTCTTACGATCCCATCTCTAGGTAAGTCTCCCGAAGAGGCAAACCTCTGTGGGCCGGAAGCAGATGAGTGGTCGCCTGGGGGCTACGGGGGGTGGGGTG